AATGTCTGACTCTTTGTTTTAATTAATAACAGATGCGTAGACTTCAGTTTTTCTCACTGTGGAGCAGTTTACACTCTCAGTTCCCTTGTATATATTTTTACAAGGCCATTTTCACCCGGACAACAAAAGCTTTATAGCTGTCTTTCATTTTGCCGGTTGCATAAAAAAAAAAATTAAAAAAAAATTAAAATCAACAGCGACTGTGTTATTTCATGTAAAACCCACTAAAAATAAAAAATAAAAAAATGAGGGAATTCTATTTTCTTTAGCTTCCAGGCTCCAGCGTTGCCCTCAGATGAAAGGTCGCATTTTTCAGAAAATCAAGACCTTAAAACATCAGGTCCCTTCACTCATATTCGCTGAAAAGGCGTTTGACTCCCGTTGAACCGCACTGATAACGTCTCCATCCCACACAGTCCTGGTGGATCCTTTTCCTTAAACCTTCTGGAATGTGAACTAATCACACAAACAAATCTTCACCATATGACATGACGCCAGTTATTATGACAGCTCGCTGCATCTGCTCCCTGTTACTGGAACTGGGTTACCTCACCAAGGCGATATGGTGGGAAAGAGCTCGCCCACCGGGGGGATTCCCTGAGCCTGTCTCCGAGCGTCCACACCAAAAGTCAGCGTGATGTCACGTGTTAAATGTCAGGATGTTGACCTGTGACTACAGGTTGTGAGCAAAATGTTTGCTTGGGAGTTTTCAGTTGACCTGTCCCCCCTCCTGTTCAGATGGAGTTGGGCTCAAATACGGAATTAAACCATGGATCGATTGTACGATAGGCAAGGAACAAAAACGCATTTTTGATTCTATCTTTGTGGCCCAGTAACAAATGATCCATGGCTCAGTATTGGTCCCCGGGCCAATGGTTTGGCACCCCCGATACCCTAACCGACAGATGACTTTGCAGTCAGGTTGATATCACTCCATGTGGTTCGTCAGAGGTTCGAGTCATCTTGACCATGTATTTATATCAACACTGACTCCTTTGTGTGTCAGAATTTCAAGGCGTTTCAGGGGAATACCTCTGACATTGATAGTCGTATCTTCTTATGTCACGTCCTGTCCTGTCGTTCCTTATTATTTCATCCTCCTAACGTAACACCCTTTGATCTTCTGGATAACTTCTTCCACGGAGTCACCCTCCCACGAGGACTGTAACATTTTGTAAGATCTGTGAGGCTCATCGCTGTGATCTTACCCAGAATGCAGTAGCCTCAGGGAGAAAAAAAAATCATGTCAAAATGAAAGAATACACACAGGATGTTTGGAGAACATCAGACGTAGTGTCGTTCAAAACTAGGGAAAACGTGTGGATTTTTCTGCCGAATTTACGTTTGGATTTTTCTTACGAGAAAAAAAAGTAGTTTTCTTTTCGTCGCGTTCACAATACATCATGTTGTTTAGGTGTCCTGTAGGGGGGTAAAGGTCATATTTTTTACTGGTACAAGTATTTTCATTTGTGTACTCTCATAGGTTGGGTTAGTATAAACATGCAATAAACAGGATGCCACAGCCCTCTGTGGTGTAGGTAGAAGTGCGAATTTGGGGCGTGAGATCAAGTGAAGACGCCGAGCATTTAAACTCACAGTACATTCAGCTTCGTTTCCTTCTCCTTCTCCTTTAACAGAAGACTATTTCATACCAAAAGGGAAATAAAAATGAAAATGAAAAAAAGGAAAGATACAAAAAACGTCTCCATAGCGAACACAGTCAGTTGAACAGAAAGTGAGCAGAGCTTTGAAACCGACCGTACGTTTTGAGTTGAACAGTTAGTCCTGCCACTGTCTTCGACCCCGTTGATAAAATACTGCTGAAAGTGTCGACCTTTTTCATTAAACTTCAGAATATGAGTTATTTGATTATTCATCCCGGAACGCACAAAAACAATAAACACTAATTATATCAATGTGAAAATGTGAAAGAAATAGATGACGGAGAATTCTTTTTTTTTTTTTTTTCCGCTGCATGGAGATCATTTCAACACCTCTTATGACGACGACAGTCTTCTGGTGAAGTTTGTGACTCACAGATGAACCTGTGAGTGCAGTTCAATACACACCAGGCAGGTCTCAGAAGGGATCAAGAGTAGTTTAAATACACAGTTTCGTCATTGGATACACGACCTCGTGGTTTTTGAAACTTAAAATATTTGTTTTTTTGCCTCGGTGTGCTGCGTTCAGGTGCTTTTGGTTTCCAGATGTGTGATAAATAATATAACCAAACAGCTACGTATCAGCAACATTCTTGGCAAATCACGTCAGAATATTCTTTGAGTAACGGTTGAGTGCGTAGACGCAAGCGATATTAGGCAATAATTGAAGGAGAATTCTGTTTTAATTGAGGGTTTGTTGAAGCGGCCAAACAAAAACAGAGAAGCTGGAGGTTTCCATTGAACAGACAGACACACACACACGGTCTTTACCACACAGGAGTCTGCTGATTGATTTCAGGAAAGCCACTGAGCCCACACACATGCACACAGACACACATACCCTCTCCCTCGTTGCAGACACATAACCCCCCCGTCCCCCCCCCCCGTCCCCATGTTCCACTTTTCCCTGAAGGCAAACATAACTCTCCGGTGCACTGGGTCAGACTGGGATTGGTTACATGAGGAATTCCCTGCTTAGCTCTGTCATTTTTTTTATTTTTAACAATAATAATAAAAGCTTGTGTTCTTGTTCCAGGATTTTTTTTTTTTGACAATGTGAGCAGGAAAAAAAAAATCTCCAAAAAGTACTTATCGCTATATATTTTTCTTTTTAACAATTTACCGTTATTTTTTTCAGGGAGTGGTGGGCCGTGAGCCGTTCCCTCTCCCAGGGGTTCCTGCTCCAGCCAGAATAGACCTTTCGGAGAGTTACTACGAGGAGGCACAGCCGTACGAGGAGACAGTCAATGGTAAGAGATTCAGTTCTAGTTCAGTGGTTTACAAACAAAAGTAAATGTACTGCGTACTCGTCACTGTAAGTTCAGTTGAATTTTATACAGTACTGCAGTTTTTTTTGGTATTTCCACCAGAATGGTACCATAACTAAGAACCGGAAGCTTCTACATATGTATCATAAGAAGAGTATATTTCACATCTGACATAAAAACAAGTATTTTCAATTCTGTCCAATTGGAAATGTTCCCTTTGTTCTTTGTTGATGAAATCTTGATTCAAATCTGTGAATTAATTTGAGCAAAAATGTTCATTGTCTCCAATTATTTTTTGGGTAATACCCTTTATTATTGTATTTTTTATCATGTTGTCTTATGATTCATGGTTTGAGTGCATGTAAAAAAAGTATTAGGTCTAGGTGTTTGACACCCAGTTTAAAGTATGTCCGAATGGTTACGGGTTCACAAGTTTCTCACATAGGTCTAGGTGTTTGACACCCAGTTTAGAGTATGTCCGAATGGTTACAGGTTCACAAGTTTCACAATGAGTTCATCACTTACCTTAAAAAGATTTTTTTTTCTGCTTCCAGATGACGGCGAGGCTGTCAGCAGCTCGTATGAGTCTTACGACGAGGAGGAAGTGAGCAGAGGGAAGTCAGCGCAGCACCAGTGGCCGTCGGCAGAGGCCTCCATCGAGCTGATGAAGGACGCTCGGATCTGCGCCTTCCTGTGGAGGAAGAAGTGGCTCGGCCAGGGGGCGGAACAGCCGGGGGTCATCAAAGAGCAACGCCCGGTGGGGGGGGAAACGTGCA